TCGCCACCACCTGGCCCGAGCCGCGTTACTTAGACTCTCTGAGGTGGTTTCCTCATTTATAAGAGAGGATGCTAATGTCTGTCTCATCAATTTTCAAGAATAAAATAAAATAATACAAAATACCCAGCAAAATTAGCCCCCCCTTTCCCCCCCGAAGGTGACAATGGGGAAGGAAAAATATTCATTAGGACACTGATATATCTAAAATAGATAACTAATGAGAACCTACTGTATAGCACAGGGAACTCTACTCAATCCTCTGTGGTGACCTAAATGGGAAGGAAGTCCAGAAAAGAGGGGATATATGTATACGTATAGCTGATTCACTTTGCTGTACAGCAGAAACTAACACAACATTGTAAAGCAACTGCACTCCAATAAAAATTAAAAAACAAATTCACTAGGATGAAGGTGGCCCAGTGTTTTTTTAAATGGAATTTTATCTTATGGTGTATTTTCCTATTACCTCATCAGATATGAATTCCAAGGTTATTTGTTAATTTTCTATTTGGGGCAAAGATCTAGTTGTTCTTTTGGTGTTTTTAGGCTAAGGGACTTACTTGTATGTGTGTGTGTGAGTTGCCTGGTTGTGGGATGGTATGGTAGAGGTAGTTGTGAAAGATGAAGCTGAACAGACAAGTGGAGACAAGACTGTAGAGGGCTTTGAATGGCACATTAAGGGTCAGACATGACCCAAATGAAAAGATGGCTATTAAAGCTTCTGAGCAGAGAAGAAAAAAAAAACAAAAACAATTCTGTTTGTGCTTTGAGAAGATAACTGACATGCTGGACTAAATTTCATGACAGTGGGGTCTAGTTCTTAACTTGTCACCACACCCTTTACTCATCTTTATAGCAATGAATAGAAGAACATATGCCCCAATGGACGGATGGGAGTGGGAATAAGAACATGGGCCGAGAGATCATGATGCATGGAAGGAAATGTCATGAAAGTTTTTGCAGATGCAGACTCAAAGGATGCAGTGACTGACTGGATGTCACAGTGAAGGAAGATGGGGGAGATTTGAAAGAAACTCCTAGGTGTCTGGTTCAGATGAGAGCTTGGGGTGGGGGATGGGATGGATGCCATTAACAGAAATAGAAAACACAGAATGAGAAGCCAGTTTTGGAAATCAGAGAAAACAATGAGTCTGATTTTAGTTCAGTGAGCTTGGGTTGAGGTGAAAACGTCCAACCGGCAAATGAAAACACAGGTCTGGGTGCAGCAGAGATCAAGACGAAAGATAAAGTTTGGTTGGTGGGGTCACACCCGTAAAGGTGACAGCTGAAGTCTTGGGAGAGAATGAAATCATCCTTGGAGAATGTGTTGATCAAGAAGAGTGGCCAAGGACTCCCCTGGTGGCGCAGTGGTTAAGAATCTGCCTGCCAATGTAGGGGGCACGGGTTCAAGCCCTGGTCCAGGAAGATCCCACATGCTGCGGAGCAACTAAGCCCATGTGCCACAACTACTGAAACTTGCGCACCTAGAGCCCGTGCTCTGCAACAAGAGAAGCCACCGCAACGAGAAGCCTGCACATCGCAATGAAGAGTAGCCCTCGCTCGCCGCTCCTAGAGAAAGCCCACACGCAGCAACGAAGACCCAACGCAACCAAAAATAAATAAATAAATTTATTAAAAAAAAAAAAAAAGAGTGGCCAATTAGAGTACCCTGGAGAATACTAACACTTACAAGATAGTTGAAGATACAGGAAAAGAGAGTAGAATGGGAAGAATGGGCACAGAAATACCACGAGAGAGCAGTGCTGTGGAGGCTAAAGAGACAAGGACCCAAGGGAAAGGACCAGTGTGATGGGGTCCGAGAGGGGCTCGTGCGTCTGGCCACTGGAAATCACTGGTGACCTCTGAGAGACAGCTGTTGCCACAGGGGAAGACTGGAGCTGGTCATAGTGAGAGATCCGCTGGAGGCAGAGGTATCAGCGAGAGAGAGCTGGCGACAGCTTCCTCTTCCATCTTGGCTGCTGCTTCTTCTTCGTCTATTTAGAAGACTCTTTTCTCTGCTGCCCCAGTAAATGTTGATGTTACCTAGTATCTGTCCTTGGCTCTATGCTTGTAACAGTTAGGGTTCTCTTGGTTTCAGATAACAGAAAGCAACTCCAGCTGGCTTGAGCAGAAAGATTTATTGGAAGGATACAGAGTTACCTCATAGGACCCAAAGGGTTATGACTGGGCCTTGTGTATAAGCTTTAATCAGAAATCCAGTACCATGGGTTTCTCTAGTTCCTTTCTTGTTCCCCTCTTCGTGTCTGTTTCATTTTCTGCTCTCACTGCAAACCAGCTGCCTTGGTTTTCCAGGCCACATGGTGGCAAACACGTCTGCCCCTCGCCCCTGAGTCATAACCACTCATTCGGCCGGAGGAGCGCTGTTCCGCCTCCCTCACTCTCACTCCTGAGGTCTTCCACGGGGAGAGACCGAGCTGATCAGCTTGCATAAATGCCCATCCTTGGGCCATGCAACTGAAGGGAGACCAACAGGGTCACACTGCAGACAGCATCATGTGGCTTGGGGACGAGGGTGGGGCAGGGGCCTGGAAGTGAGAAGCTGGGGCAAAGCTTACAAGACAAGGATTTGGACGGAGTGTAGAGGGAGTGGTAAGGAGGGAAGGTGACATGAGCAGCTTCTCACGGCCCCTTCTTTTGGTCTGTGCTCTGCCCTGAGAGCCTGGGCCCTCCTAAGCATCAAATCCTCGAGGTGCTCTCCCTCCTAGAGAAGGTCCAGGTCATACTGCTTTCTTCTAAAAAAAGAACAGGGGATGGCCGCCCAGCTCTTATCAACTTCCCCTCCTGTGACCAGCCCTCAGCACACCTGGCTGAGTGCCTAGGGACCAAGCCTATACCCTCAAGATGAATCAGAGTTGACTGATCCAGGGGCCAACTGAAGCCTCTTTCTAGGGTCTTTGCCCTTGCACAGATGACGGGCCAATTCCTTTTTAGAATGGTGTGAGGCTGCAGTGACCAGGGGACAGGGGCAGAGTCCGGAGGTGCTTGTGTTACTCGTTCTCATTTTCCTGGAAACCCAGCTGCACCACTACCCTTCCTATGTTGGATTATATAAGCTAGCCCAGTATTTTCTAGTAAATTCCTTTTCTGTCTAAGCTAGTCTGGGTAGGTTTCTGTCACTGAGACCTCACTGAGACCGAAGAGAGCCTGGACTAATCCCGGATCAAGGCAGTTGCCCAATAGCTCTTCCCACACTGGCCTCCTGCCTGCCACTCAACGGGAGGACGTGACCTCTCCCTCTCTCTTGTCATGATTACAGGAAGAAATAAGGTCCAAATAGTGATTGCAATACAAGGTTTTGGTATTCTGGCAATTACTGAAATATAAGCATTTTGTTGGTAGATTACTCTAATTTTTATATTTTAAAAATCTAAAAGCAGTACCACTTATGTACTGAGATGAGGACCAATGACTCAACTATTCAATTTATGATGAAAATACTTGCTGAATAAAACTCTACCCAAAGTCGGAAAGGGCTTTTCATCAGCCAGAACAATTTGTCCTAAAACGCACGTGATGCTCAATGATACCACAGATCCACTTTGTTCTTGAAATAACATTTCACGTGTACTTCTTAATGATTTTCAAAGTTTTCTTCATTTTAGATAGTGTTCAGTATGCTAATTTTGGAATAAGACTTTATTTTTTAACAACCTTTTAATTTTGGAATAGTTTTAGGTTTATAGAAAGATTGTGAAGATAGAATAGAGAGTTCCCATGTACTCACTCACTTTCCCCTATGATGAATATTTTCTATGAGTATGGTACATTTGTCACAATTAATGAACCAATATTGATATAGCATTATGAACTAAAGTGCATACCTTACTAGTGTTTCCCTAACGTCCTTTCTTCTATTCCAGGATCCCCTCCAGAACACCAAATCACATTTAGCTGTTATGTCTCTGTAGGCTCCTCTGATTTATGACAGTTTATTAAGTTTATCTGCTAATACTTTGTGTCAGAAGGATGCTTATTTAATGTTTCTCTTTGACAAATGTACATATTTCCTTGACCTTTAATACTTTTAAAATTTGAATTATATTAGATGTTTTCACAGTGTTGTTAATGTTTAGCATTCTGAACATTTACAGATAAAATATTAGTACTGATATGAGTATTTATTTAAAATAAGTGCTGAATGTCCAGGGTCACAGTTTTTGTTCTAGGACAGCAGTCCCCGGATCCCAGGTATGGATGGGCAGAAAACAGAGGACGGGAACACAGATGGCTAAGGCTCTCATGGCAGGGCAGAGCCGCCCAGAACCAGGGAGGGTACAGCACAGGGCAGCCGGGCAGCCCAGGGCTTGTTGTTCTGCTGCAGGAACCGCAGGCCCAGGCCATTCTAATGGGTTCTGCAGGTAAGTCTTTTGCCTCCGATATCCTTACTGCACCCTGTCCTTCCTCTGTATGCAGCTGGAGAAGACTTATACTAATGTCAGCTCAATCTGGTTTTTCCATCTTGCACAACCAGCGCCCTAGGGCCATTTTTGCGATGATGATTTTTGATGACTACTAAGGATACATTGTCTTAGAGAAGTCTTAACTTTGTTTTCCAAAAGCCTTGCTCATTGCTTGGAACACAGTCAACACTCAGTTGCATGTACATGCTATTATTTGTTCAACCAAAGCTGAATGCAGGAAGGAAACTGGTACCACTCGCAGTTCCTGACACTAGGAACTGCTGAGGATCAGGGAGGCTGTGGGTAGGGTGGCAAGGACCAGTAAATGAGTGGAGCATCCTGGCTGGCAGCATTGGTGGGGGGGGGAGTCGGGGGTTGAGAGTAAAGAGGAGGGGGGTTGGGGGCCATCCCAGTGGCAGTGCAAGCAACTGTGAGCATCTGAGAACCATGATGAAGAGTTTAACGGAAGGTATGCAGCATGACATCATTGGTAGAGTGGGATTCGACATCTAAATATATCACAATCTATTTCGGTCTCCCCACAGGTTGCCCAAAGCAGCACACAATAGTTAGGCTTACTTTTGTCCGTAGTTCATGGCATATTCGAAGTCTTTAAAGCTGACGTGACCATCTGAGTCTTGATCTACTTCCCTGGAAAATGAAACAGAAAGTTATTCACAGGTTAGTTTCGTCTCACCTTATGCATCAAGAGCACATCAGAACCTTCATTTCTTTTCATGTCTACGTGAGAGGCACGTATTTTATCTACTTGAATGCTGAGGTTGATGTTTATCTTTTTTTTTTTTTCCTTGATAATACCTAAGGTGTGAAGGAAAGGAAAAGTTATTTATTAAAACCTACAGAAATAATATATTCAATAAATTTAAAGGAATGTCATCAAGTGCACAGGTTATATGAAAAAAGGCAGGAGTGATGATTTTTCTAGTCATCCTGCAAATTCTTTCTGTGATATGTCAATAAATATACATGCATTTGTCAACCAAAAACGCAATGCAGGAGGCTGCAAAGAAGAAAAGAGTTTATTTAGGGTCTGAAGAATTGCAGTTTGGGAGATACAAATTCGGGTAACCCCGAAAGAGTGTTCAAAGGAAGAGACGAAAAGCCACGGGGTTGTTAAAAGCTGCTTGGTGAAATTTGTGACTGACTCTGACTCAAGTTAGAAAAGATTTGCCCTTGAGGAGTCACACGTTGTTTTAAGGTAAGGGTCCAGTAAATATTTTGCGTTTCTGGAAGGTGTTCTGGATGACGTCACCAGGACAAAAGATTTTGATGTGCAGAAGTCACACTTCCTTAATGGTCTCCTGGCTCCAGTTTAGAGAACTCTCTTAGCAACACCAACTCCATTTTGATTTTCCTTTCACACATTACACAACAGAAGTGTGGAATAAAGAATTAAGAGATAAGAAAAACATTTGGGGAGTAAATAATAACGATGGGAACAGTGACTGACACCCTGCCTCGCACTGTCTTTATATCACCTGTCTCATCAAATCTGTGCACAGATGCCAGGACGGGTCCATTTTACAGACATGGAGCCTAAAGGGGTTCAGTGGTTTCTGAAGGATCATGTTGCTGGTAAGTAACCAGATTTGAAATTCAAATCATGATTGTTAAATTCCCAAACCAGGGCTCTATACTCTATTCCACATGTCTCCCTATGTAAATAGGATGGTCCAGAGAGAAGCGGTTGTGTTGCAATTCCCATGCAGCTAACTCAAGCTCCGGAAGTTTTCACTGGCTTCATTCATGGCCTCGGAAGCTTGGTTAATTCCCCACAAACACCTGATAAGCTTTTCTGACTCCTATGGAGAGAGGTGAAGATGTGAGCCTCTGGCTGGTCAGCGGAGGGTGTGGGCGGCCTCAGCTGGGTTGTCCGTGTGTGTCGCTACAGACACTGAGACAGGGGCATTGCTCCTTGAACAGGGAGCAGAGGAATGGCACCCATTCCACCTGGTTAAGATAACACATGGCAGAAGGACAAAATCATGGCATAAGCAATACATTCAACTGCTACCAGTGAAAGCAGTGTTTAAGAGTGTGTTTGAAAGATAACTGATGAGTTGTGGTCCCAATTCCTCTTTGGGGGGCACTCTAAAACAATGCATTACGTGCCTTATTTGCCTTATTGGGTTGGTGCAAATTATATTTTGTTGAAACGGCAAATGGTATTAACCATGACATAGGGCTTTTTAAAGCAAGGACTGGCCCGAGTATCAAAGCCACTAATCACTGTAATAGTTTTAAAGCAGGCTTTTAAAATATTGAATTCTAAAATAAACTTTCTGAATATTTCATGCCAAAGTCTCTGAAGTCTATAATGGTACTGGATAGAGTGATAATAATTTTTCATTCTTTTGAAGTAGAGAAAATCCCTACTTCTCTGCCCCAGGGCAAAACCATGTTGCAGTATGTTAGTATAAAATGATTGCAGACTGTAGGGGCCATTATTCTTGTTACTTCTTTTGGTAAAATATACATGACGATTTCATGCTATACAGGACCAAAAGCAGAATGTCGGATCTCTTCTAAGGGATTAGAAATAATCAGTATCACATGTTACTGATTACAGAGTATAAATCATCCCTCCTATTAAATTAGATAATTGAAGATTCTTAATATTGCCTACGTATTTTTTCTCAAAGAATTGGATTAGATAAATGGCCTTTTTTCTTCCCACTCTGAACTGATATGATTGAACTATAAATCTCATAGGGTGAGTTAAGTGGATAACCTAGAAAAGTAATATTTAGAATAAACTGTTTCTGATATATATATACGTGTGTGTGTGTGTGTGTTCATTCACTTATTGAGATGCTGAATGCTTGTAGAAAAGGAAATCCTTTTGCCTGATTTTCTCAGTAAATAAGTTTATTGTAATTCCATTAACTTATTTTTCTTGCTGCCTTTGCCAAAGCTTCCCATCATAAAATGGGCACAGTATAACCAAGAGGTATTAAAATGGAAAAGTTTATTCATAAGGCTTGGAGTGGCGTTTTTATAATGAATGGAGGAACATCATGTTTATATTTAGAATGAGACATGGTAAAATACTGTCTTCAACTTCTCTTCCTCATCACATATATATATGGTCGTCTCAAGGAGAATGAAAAGGAAATTCACATTTCAGAGCTATAATTTTAAAAGCTAAAATACTGTTTTTCATTGCAGACGGTATTATTCCCAAGAAGGAAAGTTTCACAGCACCCACACTCAAGTCACCATGTGATGGACGAGCAGATGTGGCAGGTGGGTAGAATTAGTGGTATGCTGAGGAGATGAAGAAAACGTCATTAGGTAAAACGTTTCATTGTTTCTGTTTACAGTGTTTAACCCTAAAAGGAGTATACTCTCCTTATGAAACTAGAGTGTGCTGTCTTGGTGTCACCAACATACATTCAGCACTGAAATATTCCACCACCGTCACTCCAACTAGAAATAAACTCTGGGAAGGCAAGAACTTTCTCTTGTTTGCTGCTGTGTCCCCACCTCTTAGCCCATAGCGGGTAATGAATGTTTGCAGAGTGAATGCATTTGTGGAGTAAATGAATCTGGGGAAACAGTGGACAACACTTTGGAATATCTACTGCCTCCCAGGAGGTTTGGGGGGATTAAAGAAAGTATATCATCACTGTTTTTGTAGAGTCTGAAATACTAGCCAGAGAAATAATAACACACCGAAGAAGGCACCTAGGAGCCATCACTCAGGGACCAATAAGGAACGGTCAATTGTGGTCTCCATGCCCCACCACATTTTGTAAATACAGACCAGGTAGAGAGAGACCAAGTAAGACATGGACTCTGAAAGATGAGGTTGCTCAGTAGAGCAATGGATGGAAGGAACCCCTTGAGTGTCAGGCTGAACAATTTAGAGATAAACAGCTGGAAACTGGAAACCAAGGCAGAGCACTGGACACATCCGCGTCTAACCTGCCCTGTAGCTGAAGTCCAAGCACTTGAAGCCACTTAACTAACTTCTCTTTTACTGGACATGTGGCTATAGACATAGATATAGATACATGCGTATATACACACATACATACAGGCTTGTATTTCACAACTGTCTTTTTAAAGGAATGAACAAAGTTTATACAGATGGATGAGAGGAAAATAAATTGCTATGAACAACAATAACTGCTTTCTAGACATGTAAATCCTGTTAAATTAAAGGCTTTTTGGTTTGCTTGGTTTTGAGATGCAAAGGGAGAGCTGGAATTGATGTGGGGAGTACAGACTCAAGAGAGCTGAACTGCTCTGTGTAACTTAGTATGAACAATATAGGACCATCTGGGAGGAAGGAGATGATGAGCAAGATAAGACAGGATGCAGGGAGAAGGGCTACTGAGGGGTAGGGAGGAGGCTGGGATGCTATACGATGGGAATTGGCCCAAGAAAAAGGCCCCAGTGATCAAAGGGTCCTTTGATTAACTGCTACGTTTACTGTGTGCACCGAAGTTGTTCGTGTTGCATGTTATAACCTCTCCTTTATCTTCACCAAGGGCTTGACAGGCACACAGTCTAAGGGGGGATGGTGTGTTTGGGGAGTGTGTGCTGAGTTCGGCACTGGAGATGAGTTCTGTCTGAGCAGGTGCAGTAGGGAGCAACAAAAGGGGGGTATGGTAAGATGACCATCAACTGAATTAACTCAGAGAGACGAGAACTCAGAGCCACAGGCCTTCCAGAAATTTGCAAAAACCTAGGAAGTGCTTTAAAATTCCATAGGATATTTAATGGGAGTCCCAGGCAATACTATCTGGACTTCGAAGGGCAGAAGACCCAGGGTGACAATGGGATACATTGAGAATTTCAGGCAGGACTAGACTCTGTCCATTCAGCTGAATCCCAATAGTTTTCATATCTGTTAAAATACAAACATTTTTTGACTCATCAGATAAGTGGTTATAATTACTTTTATCACCATGAGCTTTAGCATTTGTCTCTTTACATCCTGATTTGTTAAGCAAGATTCTGCTCTTTCCATTTTTTTTTTTTTAAACGTCGTTATTGGAGTATAATTGCTTTAAAATGGTGTGTTAGTTTCTGCTTTATAACAAAGTGAATTAGTTATACATATACATATGTCCCCATATCTCTTCCCTCTTGCGTCTCCCTCCCTCCCACCCTCCCTATTTCACCCCTCTAGGTGGTCACAAAGCACCGAGCTGATCTTCCTGTGCTATGCGGCTGCTTCCCACTAGCTATCTGCCTTACGTTTGGTAGTGTATATATGTCCATGCCACTCTCTCACTTTGTCACAGCTTACCCTTCCCCCTCCCTATATCCTCAAGTCCATTCTCGAGTAGGTCTGTGTCTTTATTCCTGTCTTGTCCCTAGGTTCTTCATGACCGTTTTTTTTCTTTTTAGATTCCATATATATGTGTTAGCATACGGTATTTGTTTTTCTCTTTCTGACTTACTTCACTCTGTATGACAGAATCTAGGTCCATCCACCTCACTATAAATAACTCAATTTCATTTCTTTTTATGGCTGAGTAAAATTCCATTGTATACATGTGCCATCCCTTCTTTACCCATTCATCTGTTGATGGACACTTAGGTTGCTTCCATGTCCTGTCTACTGGAAATAGAGCTTCAATGAACATTTTGGTACATGACTCTTTTTGAATTATGGT